TGAACCACTCATCTGAGCAGCATCAGAGAGTGGGATGTGTAGCCATCAGCTGGGCCTGTTCCACAGCCAGCGTGGCTCTTTCTCTGGCTTTGTTTTGACTTTAGATTCATGTAGGTAGTACAAACTGGCCTCAGCAACTATATGGCCCACCCATGCTGACTTTGGACTGACTTGTCCTCAGCCTTAGCCTCCAAAGGTCTAGTATTACAGGAAGTGCTAGCACAGTCAGCCTCTGTGCGTGTTTGAAATAGCTTTATTGAGGTGCAATTCATGGAGTTAAGAGTTGTGAGTTTAAGTGTGCATTGGTGGATTTTGATAAACATGTAGCTGTGCAAGCCCTGCCAACCATCAGTTACAAGCAGTCACCTCCACCCTTCTTAATGGTCCTCGGTGTTAACTCCCCTGTGCAGGAGGGGTAAATCTCAAGAAGTCATCTTGATGGGCGGTCAGCCCTATTTTGACAGTTTTATGTAAATTAGGGCCCATTGGCATTTGGGCTGGATCACTCTGTTATGAGGGCCATCCTAATGTGAGAGGATGCTTAGCAACAGAACTGCTCTCCACTCACTGGGCAGCACGGCCTTCTTTCGTCTGCCTCCACTGAAATGACAGGCGAGTGTCCCTTCGGAGAGCAGAATCATCACAAGTTGAGCATGTGGTACAGATCCGGATTCTCCTGCCTGGCTTTCTGTCTTGACACAGTGCCTTCTTTAGATACAGTATCCACACTATGGAGCATAGCCATTATTCATTGGTCTGTTTTGACTAAGGGACCTCTCACTGTAGCAGACATACATGGTTTCTTCATTTGCTCCCTTGTGGGGGACATAGTCCCTCTTTCATGTGTATAGGTGTGGTACTATTTTCTCTTTGAGGGGTAGGTGGCAGAGTGGCTTCTGATTATCATGTGATGTTTGCTGCCCCCTCTGTCTAAACTCAGCCCCTTTTAATTGAATCCTGGGTGTCGAATGTGTAGGTCCCACCTCTGAAAGAACAAACAAAGAGCCGAGAAGCCAACTCATGGTCTCTCCAGTACCACAGCTACCGACAGCTGCCGGCCTGGCCTGGAACAGTGTTGATGCGGGGGAGGGAGGTGCACCTAGTTACTCAGGTGCTTATTGCCCATTGAGTATCTTGCAGGTGTCCTCAACCCCACGGTGGGGCTTGCTGACCCTGCTTGCTCCCTGCCATGTCCTGAATCCCAAGGACCAGCTGCTGCTCGGAACCTACCTGGTGGCCATGGATACTGCAGATGTTTTCTGACAAAGGCATCCACAGTCTGACTCATGCTGACAGCAAGCTTCTTGGATTTTGAGCTCAGCCGCCTTTACAGGCCTCCCTGGCATAGCCGAGCAGCAGCTAGGGCAGAGGCACTGCCCTCAAGTGTCTGTGGACACATTCATTAGCAGATTTCCTGAGAAAGTGGTTTGGGGCTCTGGCTACTCTGAGACATGCAGGGCAGCTGTCGTCCCAGAACCTAGCAAAGAGTCACTGAAGTCATCTTCAGTCTGTGCAGCAAACTTTTATCCTGTGTCCAGAGTTTGTCACTTTCTTGTCATTTACCCCTTGTTTCTACCCCTGCTCCTCGGGCTTCTCTTGTTCTATCACCTACCGAGTACGCCTCAGAGGGTGGGGGGTTGCTACAGTAACAGTGCCACACCCTGTTTTTCTAAATAGCTTTCCTGGCAAATGCCAAAGGGCACTCTTTGTCTCCGTCACGTGCACATATACCCTTTCCAGCAATAGCGCCTGCCAAGGCCTTCTTGCTTTTGTTACTAATGCTCACAAAATGCCATGGCCAGCTCTTTCCAGCTGCTTCCACTCTCAGCTAGCCCCTGTGGTCCAAGCTCAGACCTAGAACTTATCCCAGGGCAGGGAAGAAGGAAGAAATCAGGGTTTGGCTTGAACACCTGCCAGAACTGTGCCCCACCCAAGGGCCAGTCAGGAGATTGCGGGTGACAAGCATGTAAGTCCCCTTGTGGAGACTGCTGAGCCCACAACAGGACCTTTGATCTGTGTCACCCAGCCTGTGCTGAGGGTGTGTCCAGTTAACCCCACCGGCGGTGCTGAAACTCAGCCCTGCGCTTGCATGCTAAGACTGCCGTAGGCCTGACCCCTGGTCTCTGTAGTCTTCAGAGGCCCCGAGCCGCAGTAGCTGAAGTAGCAGTCATTAGTGTTTGGGACCTGAGGCCTGGTCTTACTCAGCACTGCATTCGTCACAGTGATGGCAAACTGAGCAGAGCTCACATCTCCTTATCAGAAGAAAACATTAACCTACCCTGGCTGTATGGATCAACAGGCTGAAGCAGGAGAGTCACTGAAGCCCTGGGCTGGAGCCAGCCTGGGCCCCAATGAGTGCTTCACACACACACACACCTTTTTTTATCCCTTGATATCTGAGATTATTTTAAAATCATGGCTAGAGAGTAGGCTCAGTAGCTGACCCACTCTGCTTAGACAGGGCCTGAATTTGGGTCCCAGCACCCATATCCAGGGGCTCACAACCCCCATACTCCACCTCCAGGGGACCTGATACCCTCTCTAGACTCCGAGGGCACTTACTGCGCTCACACATGCAAAGAACCCACATATAGACATACATATAATTTTTTAAATTAAAAATTTTAAATAAATAAATCTAGCGAAGGGACCAGGAAAGCTATGCCGCTCTAGCCCCTCCACCCAGGCGTGTGTCAGCCCTAGAGAGCTGCTCCGAGAAAGAGCTTAGGTAAAGGCCTGGCACGCAGTAGGTCTCCAACATGTGCTCTGCTGCCTGCTGTTGGTGGTGGGTTTCGGTCTCTCCCTTCTCCTGCCCCACCCTAGGCTGTTTGTTCCTTCTTTGTATGGTCCTTTTCATGAGTGAACGTCAGAAGAGCACAGCAGACCCTTCTCACAAACGGTCCATTGTCTGTGCGCTCTAGAGCGGCACTCGGGGGCCTGGGGTGGCCAGAGGCTACGGGGAAGGCCACAAGGAGAAGAGACAAGACTTGGGTGGGTCGTGGCCATTCTCTGAGCAAATTGCCCATGAGAGTTGGGGTTCTTCGTGTCAGAATCAGGCCTTTTGTTCAGGCCTTTTTATGCACAAACTGTTTGGGACCCAAAACATTGAGAATCCTGAACACAGTTTCTCATAGCAGGACAGCACCAGACCAGAAGGATAGGGCCAGGCAGCTGTGACTCCCAGAGGCCTGTGGGAGGCTGGACCTGGCTTGTACTTGAAGCTGACTTGTGTCTCTTCCAGCCCTGAGTTCAGTGTCTTCCACACTGGCAATTTGAGATTAAGCCTAGCCAGGCAGAATTTACAGTGTAGAAACTGGCCCGTGCTTTGGATTGTGGCTCCTCCCTCTCTCTCTCCCCCAGCACTACCCTGACATGCTCTTTCCTGGAGCTTTGTAGCGTGTTGTTTACATCTGTCCCTCTACTTCAACTCCCTTCTCCAAGGTTGACACATGGCAGGCTTCTGACCGTTTGATCTCAGCTCAGGTAACACTCTCCAGGATGCCCTGCACAGCCTGCTCCCCGTTCTCAGGTTGACTTGTGCTTGTGCTCTGTAGTCCCAGAGTTCCCCCTCTGTTCTCTCAACAGCCTCCTTCTCCGAAAGGGTCCGAAACATGTCACCTGATGAAATCAAGATCCCTCCAGAGCCACCTGGCAGGTGCTCAAATCACTTACAAGTAAGCGAGGGTCTGACTGCCCGTGTGGATGAGAATGTCGGGGTTACATTGTCTGGTGGGGCCATGACCTTCAGAGGCTATGACAGGAAAAAGGAACCAAGTCAAACTGCCACACCTGCCGTGTGCTGCCCTCTTGAGTCCCTGGTCTGCCATCATTGAGGTTCTAAGTCTACCTCAGCAAGATAGGGTGCGTCTTCTCTACAGCCTCGCTGAGCCAGGGGACTTCTCAGAGGGAAATGTGCCAAGAAACTGAGGACCCATCAGAATGTAAAATAAATTCCAGAAGTGTAAGATACAGCATTTAAGTGCATAGTTTCTGCCTTCGTGTTCCTGATGCCCGCAGACCTGACCGTTATTAGGCTTTAAATGCTAAACTAACAGAAGCCATTTATCTTTGCAGCTGAGATCTTTATCAGCACAGCTGAGACTTCCCCCCTATGGTTTTTCTCCTTGTCCCTCTGTAAGTTCCCCTGTGATGGCCCTTTCAGTTAACAGTAGGGTGTAAGTGCCGGGGCCTACATAACTGTGGACCTTTTCCACCTGCCCTGCCTTTGATCCCACTGCTGGGTGCCCCCTGGCTATCCAACAAGCCCATGGCACCACCCAAACGGATGGATGACTAATGGGTCCTAGAGCTGAGGAATGCAGGAGGCTAGGAGAGGGCCAAAGTCAGGACTCAGGCATAGCACAGATTTCTCCCTTTCCCAGCAGTCTCCTCCCTCGGCCGAGTTGTCTGCCTCCCTCCCCATCACCCGCAGGATGCCGTCACCCTGTGCCAAACAAGTTCAAGCCTGTAAGGATGATTCCACAGGCCTGCCAAGCAGAAACAACCAGCCACTCAGAGCTCTTAAGTTCCGAATATTTCTTCTTTTTTGATCCTCCTGGGGTCAGGGATCGTGGCATTTAAGCAAACAGCAGAACCTCTGGTGGCCTTGGAGCCCTCAACAAGGTGGCTGTGCAGCAGGGCTCACCTGGAGCTGCTGAGCCTCCTGTGTGTCTGGCCTCCCTGCAGTGCCCTGATAGAACACCGAGGAAAGCGGCTTCTTGCTCCCTGGTGATGGCGTGCTTCAGGCTTCGTAGGCCTTTCGGCAAAAAGAAGTGCCGCTTTGATCCTCTGCCCAGGGGACTGGGCTCCTCTTCTAAGAAGTGCCCAGGGTACTGTCTAGGACCTCTAGCCCCTCCCACCTCTTTCAAGCAAAGTGCTCCCCAAATCTTTGGTTTCTGGAGAACCTGTATGTGTCACTGCCACGAGCTGGACCTCTGCTCGTGCTCTGGCCCACCACTCTGAGGAGGCTCTGGCCTGATGCCCTCGCTTTAAGGATTTCTATTGCTGTGATTTAAAAACTATTCCTAAGCCAGGCGGTGGTGCCGCACGCCTTTAGTCCAGCACGTAGGAGGCAGAAGCAGGTGAATCTCTCTTGAGTTCAAAGCCAGCCTGGTCTACAGAGTTAGTTTCAGAACAGCCACAGCAGTACAAAGAAACCCTATCTCAAAAAAAAAAAAAAAAAAAATTAAAAAGCAAAAACAAAAAGAACAGATTTGCCTACATGCCAGTCTTATAGAAGCTTTTTCTCATAAGATTCCCTCTTCCAGCCGGCTGATGGTGGCGCACGCCTTGAATCCCAGCACTCAGGAGGCAGAGGCAGGCGGATCTCTGTGAGTGCCAGGACAGCCAGGGCTACAGAGAGAAACCCTGTCTCGAAAAACCAAAAACAAACAATAAAGGCATCTAAAGAGTTTGAAACCAACTCCAGAATAGTCCGCCTGCCTCCCTCTGAGGTGATGATGCTTTCTCAGGTCTCCTAACGACTTCATGTGCAGATGCTTGGATCCAGCATTCACCCTTGTTCACCAGCTCTTAAGACTTTCCACTCCTCGGGGGGGAGTGGGGGCGGCGGAGGCAGTTGGGAGCTGATATTCACTTGTGGGTTTGGGTCATGACTTCGGACTTGACCTTTCTTCTCCCATTCTATCCTGACCATCGAGAACGGGTCAGGAGAAATCAGCAGTGGATCTGGGCTTGGCTTGCCTGTGCAACGCTGCGGTCAGAGGCTGGTGCAAGGTGTTCGACTTGAGTCGGGCTTCCTGGGGCTCGGGGCACAGACTGGATTGTGGGGGGCAGGCTCCTGTCATGTTCACCTTCTGTCACCTTCCCAGGACAAGATCCAGAAGCTTTACGAGAGGAAGATAAAGGAGGGAATGGATATGAACTACATTATTCAAAGGAAGAAGGAGTTCCGGAACCCCAGGTGAGGAGAGGTCCAACTTTGTTCCCATGTGAGCCCAAAGTGGCTTCCCCCAGACTTAATTTATACTAGATTCCCGCTAGACACATCAGAGGTTTACAAATAAAACCCGGGGTGTGAGCTACTCTGCAGTGATACCTAAGAGGCCTGCTGGGTTCTGGTCACCAACCTGGTCCTAAAAGAGGGTATTCATAGAGGTTCTTTCAACTCAAAAAACTTGATTTTGCTTCTTGGTAAAATGTCTTAGGAACAAAGCTGTGTCTGAGTCTGTTGTTTGGGGGTCTTTGAGATAGGGTCTCACTGTGTAGCCCTAGCTGGCCTCAAACTCACAGAATCTGCCTGCCTCTGCCTCCCAAGTGCTGGGGTTAGAGTGCTATCCATAAAAGTTGCCACACTGTGCCTGGCTACATCTGAGTCTTATTCTTTCAAATGTTCAAGTGAGTAAAACACCCAAGAAAGAACATAATGTGTAATAATGGAGACCTACACTAGGCATTGTGTGGGTCTGAGTGTGGAGACCCCAACCCAGCCGTTCTAACTGAAGGCCAGAAGCATTTACGTCAGACATAGCATGCCATTGTTGTCTTGACCCCTCATCCAGGCCCCCAGCCACAGTGCATTTGAGGAGGGTGTAGAGCCGGAAGTGACAAGCAGGTGGGCCTCCCATCAGGAGGCTGCACTAGAAGATGTGGGGTGGGTTCCAGGTTTGTCGTAGTTCCAGGAGCTGATGGTGCTGGTTCCATCCAGGGCTGTGGGACCAATACAGACACGGCTCACTGTTCTGTTCCCTTTCCAGCATCTATGAGAAGCTGATCCAGTTCTGTGCCATTGATGAGCTGGGCACCAACTACCCAAAGGTATGTCCTATGCACATGGGCTGCAGAGTGGTAGGGTTTGCTGGGCTGGGTGGGACTCCCCGGAGGGGCAGTGCTGGTGGTCTGCAGATGCCAGTGCCGGACTTGGTCTCTGGGTGCCAACCAGTGAGAAGCCAGGGCTAGAACTGCCACCATCTGAGCAGGTGCTCATTTCCTGACTTCTGAAGAGTTTACTGGTTATCTGTCTGGTGGTCAGGGTGACAGCTGAAGCCCTGTGCTTTCACGAGGGCTGGGCCAAGCCTAGGAAGATCCATTTCTGGGCCCCGTGCTTTCTGGCCTTTATGACCGCAGCTTGGCCTTCTCTTTTCAGGATATGTTTGACCCCCATGGCTGGTCTGAAGACTCCTACTATGAGGCCTTAGGTAATCTCGATTAGCCCTGTTTATCTGCTCATCCACACACCCTTCCACCTGTCTGTCCAGCCCGTGATCTAGTGACCCAGATTTCAGGGTCTCTATGCCAGGCCGTGTCCACAGGACAACTCCCAACTTAGCCTTGGCCAGACTGACCGTGCCCTTGCTGACAAGACTTGAACATAACTATGACAGCTGGTTGGATCAGTTGTCCCCATGCTGCTGCCACTGAATCAGTGTGAGCAGTCGTACAGCTGGGAGCCTTTGGCAAGCAGAGTCGCTTGACCTGGCCAAAGGACAGGGGAGGCCCTGTTGAGGACACTGTTAGAGCTAAGGTTTGGTGAATGCCCTGGGCAGAGGAGGTGTGTGTTCTGAGGCCAATGAGCACAACACAGAGAACTGAGCCTGTAAGTCACCATTCACAAGCCAGAGGCTTTTTTTTTTTTTAATTTTATTAATGATTTGTCTGTATGTATGTGTAAGGGTGTTGGATCCTGGAGTTACAGACAGTTGTGAGTTGCCATGTGGGTGCTGGGAATTGAACTTGGTTCCCTTGGAAGAGCAGTCAATGCTCTTAACTGCTGAGCCATCTCTCCAGCCCCTCCCAAGTTACCAATATTTTTATTTGCAATAAAATTCTATACCTCATGTTTCTTAATGAGTAGGAAGATACTCCCTCAGGATCAGCTGACCCTTCCCAGCCAGATGTGCAACCCCGACCCTTGGTCAAGGCCCACATTCTGTGCTGACCAAGCCTAGCACTTCATCCTGCCTAGTGCAGGATGCTGAATCCATGCAGCCCTCTAGACCAGAGACCTCCCGCAACCACACACTGCTCATAACAGCCCGTGTCTTCTCTCCACAGCCAAGGCCCAGAAGATTGAAATGGACAAATTAGAAAAGGCCAAGAAGGAGCGAACCAAAGTAAGTCCTGACCTGCTAGGGTGGAGGCAGGTGTGTGGAGCATGCAGGTCCTGCTGGCTGAGTCTGAGTCAGGAACCCTGGGCTCCCTTCCACCCGTCCTCTTCATTGCCCATTGAGGCTTTGAGCAGCATCGGCCATGGCCTTTCCGCCAACAGACTGGGGTACCCTGTCATCTCAGCAGACTGGGGTACCCTGTCATCTGACTTGGCTTACAGAACCTCCACTGCTCTGTTCTTGAAGGCCTGGTGTTCCCTACATTCTGCTGCTTTTTGTCCCCATTGCAGAGTCCTGGTGACTTTGTCTCTTCTGGGTCACTGATGCCCCCTGACCTGGTTAGAAGTTTGTACTCCTTCTAAGAGAGCAGGGCCAAGACTTGCTCCAGCTGGTGCATTTCTTGGCCTGCAGAGCTGATCTCAGCAGCCAACTTGTTGCCTCCTTATGGATCTCATGTCTGATAGCCGCATAGCCTTCATTTTGGACACCAGGCACCACTTCTGTAGCAGTGTGATCTGGGTCCTTTAGGAGCATCAGATTAACTCCAAGATCAAAATAGAGTCCTCTATGCTGTACCGTATGACAGAGTCCACGGCGGATAACTGTTCGTCAGGACACCAGCTCCTGCTGCCGTGTCCTCACAGCAACCATGACCACAGGATGCTCCCTTTCCCTCCAGACTGAGGGACTGCAAGGCCTGGTGCACCTATGCCCCACTCTCAGAGGCCGTTGTTGGCAGACCAGGAATGTGGAAGCTGGTGTGAGGGGATAAACTATATTCTCATTCTTAACTGTTGAGTGAATCTCCCTTCTTTCTCTTTCCCTCGCCCCTCCAAACCCCAGGCATACTGCAGGGACATGTCTGCAGTGCCTGGGGGCCACAGCTGTCTTTCCCCTGTGTGGAAGGCACCGCTTCCTCCTGGGTGTGAGAAGGGGCCTTGGGGGGACAGTAGGCGGGGGTGCCAGGCATGTGCAATGACCTGTGATGCTAGCGGAACCCCAGGTCTGTTGGGGAAGGTCTTGGAAGAGTGATGAAAGCCCCTTCAGGCTCTCGGGCACCTTTCCCTCCCCCAGGTGCTCCCAGCCAAGATGGTTTTCAGGGCCTCTTTTGTGTAGTGCTAAACTCCTGCCCCCTGGGAGCAGGCAGACGGCACAGGGAATGGACACACCGCTCTGCACTGGTCTCACTGTCCTCTCTCTCCCCAGATTGAGTTTGTCACAGGCACCAAGAAAGGCACCACAACCAATGCCACGGCCACCACCACCACCACAGCCAGCACAGCTGTTGCAGGTAGAGGCCGCTCCTCCGCTCCCAGCACTGCCTCGGGGATACCAGATAGAGCAGGGGCTTGCTGGGTTTGTCTGAAAAGGGTCTGTGCCCAGGCTCAGCCTTGCTGTGTTCTGCTGGGTGTGAGCATAGCTTGGATCCTGGGGTAGGTTCCAGATTCCTGCTCCTCTCTGGGTTCCTGCACCAGGGACCCCTGTTTCTGTCCTAAGCCTCTGACCTGGTAGTTAAAGGGGTCCTGCCTTTGCGGTCCTGTTCTGATTGGTTTTGAGCTCGATTTTTCTCTTGTTGCCTCTAGATGCCCAGAAGAGAAAGAGCAAATGGGATTCTGCCATTCCAGTGACAGCCATAGCACAGCCCACCATCCTCACCACCACAGCCACGCTGCCAGCAGTGGTCACTGTCACCACCAGTGCCAGTGGCTCCAAGACCACTGTCATTTCTGCTGTGGGCACCATTGTGAAGAAGGCCAAGCAGTGACCAGAGGGCACCCCCAGGATTTGGCAGGACTGTGCTGCCCAGTGACTGCTGCCCACTGGGAGGTGCCACTCTGTTTCAGGACTAAGATGTGTTCCCCGCGTGCCTTCCAAAAGGAGCCTCTATGTGACATTCCAGCCGGAAGGGCATTGCAGCAGAGGCAGTGGGGTGCATCGGACTGTCTGTCCTTAGACCTCTTGGGGTCTCACCCAATTAAAAGTACTGCATTCTTAGGTCCCTGCATGCCAGATGCACTGGCCTCTCCCATGCTGTGTTCAGGCAAACATGACGCTCAAGTGCCCCTCCGTCTCAGTCAGGATTATTGCTCAGGGTGAACCATGGCATGACAAAAACTGAGAGTCTCAGAGGGGTGGCCCAGGGAGTTAGAGCGTGGTCATTCCTAGCCTGTGCCCAGGGGCATGGGCAGGTGGGGGCTCAAGAAGGGGGTCAGACACAGGCTCCTTCCTGATTTCTGCTTTCCTGACCCGGAAACCAGATTTTAGCGATTCTCAGGCAATAGCAGAGGCCTCTGCTCTCATGGGTGCAGTTAAGCGCTCCCCACATTGCTTCTGATACACACCCAGGCTTTTGAAATCAGGCCAGTTAACAGAGGGCTGGGATGTGACTCCCAACCTGCCCAGGACAGGAGCAAGGTTGGGCACCTGGCCAAGGCCACCCCAGTCCCTCAGTGCCCAGTGAGTGTGGCCAGCAGGATCCACGCAGTGGTGGTGATGAATCACCTCCTGCTCTGGCCGGGGCGGCAGCTCATTGTTTATGTGAAAGCCTGCTCTTGGGAAGGTTTCTGCCACCCCACCCTTCCTCTGTTGTTATCTCTGCCCAGCAGCAGCCCCTGGGTAGCACCAGTTGCCACTCTTAGGACCCAAACAGGTTCATCAGCCCAAGATGCCAGAGGGGAACGCTTGCCATTCATACCCTCTGGCAGCTCTCCTTCCCACACAGCGGAAAGGCTGAGTGTCAGAGGAGGAAACCAGGCTGTGAAGGGTCTTGTTTCATGGGACCAACAGAGACCGTGGAAGGTGCTTCTGAGTTTGTGGCTGGTATTTGTTTTGTGATCCAAGGGCTGACAAACTGCCTGTGAGATCTCTAAAATAAAAACGGAGTCACACTCGTCCCTTTCTCTCCTTGAAGGCACTCTGCAACATTGGGGCGGGGGTGGGGGATACCTGCTGCCAGCCCTCCCAAGAGCACCTGGAAAGGCCTGCCCTGCAGCCCCTGGCAGATGGTGCCCTCATTGGCACAGGATACCCAGGTCTGAGGTGGGCAGCTCAGAGAGATGAGTGACAGGGACAAGTGACAGTTTGGGAGTTTGGGACTGTAGCTCCCTTGGTATTTACTTGCAGAAAGCCTGGGTCCAGTCCCCTCTACCACATATAAGCTAGTGTGGTGGCGTGTGCCTATAATCCCAGCACTTGGGGTGCAAGGCTAGCCTCGGCTACATGAGACCCTGTCTGTCTAAAAGTAGCCCTTGATGGGGATGTGGCCAACTCCCCGGTCTAGCCTAGCTGACACCATTGCAACTTCTTTGCCTCTCATTTAAAACATTTTGCAAAGTGCATGCTCTGTCAGCTCAGACTCCACAAGCCCCTTCAGAAGGAAGTACTGCCACAGTGGATTGTAGAAGTCTGCGTGCAGCCGTTTGTTTTATTATATGTGAGGGTGTTTTGCCTATGTGTACGTCTGCTCCATGACAAGAAGGTCCCTGGTTCCCATGAAGGCCAGAAGAGGCATCGGGTTCTGTGGAGCTGAACTTAAAAGATGATTGTGAGCGGCCATGTAGGTGCTGAGAAGTGAACCCCAGTCCTCGGCAAGAGCAACCAGAGTGCTCTTAACTAATGAGTCATTTCTCCTGACCCCTGTAATGATATTAAAAAATATATATGAGCTGGGTGGTGATGGTGCATGCCTTTAATCCAGCACTTGGGAACTTGGGAAGCAGAGGATCTCTGTGAGTTCAAGGCCAGCCTGGTCTACAGAGCAAGTTTCAGGACAGGCTCCAAAGCTACAGAGAAACCCTGTCTTGCAAAACGAAAAAAAAAAAAAGTGTGGCCAGGCAGTGTTAGCACATGCCTTAATCTGAGCACTGGGAGGCAGTGGCCAAGACCAGCCTGGTCTACGCAGAGAAACCCTGTCTCAAAAGACCAAATAAGTAAATAAATATAAATAAAGGTTATAGTTCAGCTAGTAAGGATGCTTGCCAGAAAGCTTGGTGACCGAAGTTCAATCTCCAGGACTCATGTGGTGGACAGAGAGCCACCTCCCTCAAGTCCTAAAGCACTAATCCCTACACATGAAAAACAATCAGGTCAATCCAGAAAGCTGGGCTTCCCCAGACGACAGCCGCCTCCTTAAAGGTCAGCGTGGAAGAAGCAGGAAGTAGAGAACTGGAGGGGAAGCCGGGGTGCGTCTCAGACAAGGGTTGGAGTTGGTCCCTATGGGGATTATCTTTAATAACATTTCCTCTAGGGAAGAGCAGAATTTGTGGTTTTGCTTCTTGAAACTTGACATATGTTTTTCCAAGAGATGAAGAAAGGAAGAGGTAAAAAGCAGTTCACCCAATTCTAGATTCCTTGATGGAGGGGGCTGCCAGGAGACCAAAGAATCGTCATCTTTGTGACCCCAGCCCCTCTCCGCGGGGGGCGAGGAAGGTGCTCTCCGCTCCAAGAATCGAATGCTAGATGTCTGCATTCATAGCAGGAAATGACCAGGGAGAGGATAAAGGTGTCTGTCTAAGCAGGGATTGCCTGACTCCTCACACACAAGTGTGGTCATGCTGGGAATTCCCTCTGCAGTGATCTGACCACCTTGACATGTAGTTCTGTAAATGCGTGTTTTCCTGTGTGTGTGCGTGCACATTTGCAGGGTTACCACATACTTGTACCTGTGTGAAGACCAAAGCTTGGCATCAGATCATCAGATGCCTTTTTGTAAACTTATTTTCTGTGTGTGAGTATTTTACCAGCAGGTGTGTGTGTGTGCCACATGCATGCCTGGTGACTGAGGTCAGAAGAAGGCATCTGGTCCCCTGGAACTGGAGTTAGGGATGATGGATGCCTCCGTCTAAGCGCTGAGAACCAAAGCAGGGCCCTCTGCAAGAGCAACACGGGCTCTTAACTACTGATCACCACTTTTCTTTTTTTGTTTTGTTTGTTATTTTGTTTTGTTTTGTTTTGAGACAAGGTCTTACTGTATAGCCCCGGCTGGCCTGGAATTCACTATGTAGACAAGGGGGCCTTGACCTCACAGAGATCTACATGCCTCTGCCTCCTAAGGGCTGGAATCAAAGGTGTGTGCCACCACTATGGCCCACCTTACTATTTATTATTTGTGTGCGTACACACACATACCATGGCACACGTGGAGACCAAGGGTGACTTTATCGAGTGGGTCTTCTTCCACCCACCTTTATGTGAGTTCCGGGACTGAACTCAGGTCAGCACGCACCTTTGTCCACAGAGCCGTCTAGCCGGCTCTTCACTTTGTTTTTACCTTTTACTGAGCCTAGAGCTCTCTGTCCCAGTGACACTGGCTAGTCACCTGCCTGCCCCCTCCCCCCAGGTTACGGGATTATGCCACCACCCCCAGCTTTTATATGAGTGATGTTTCTCATGCTCGAACAGCAAGCATATTACCGACTGGGCAAATAAGACCCAGCCTGAAGAAAAATCGCTGTGGAGAATGAAAAACTGCTAGATTAGGGAGGAGACCTAGTCGGATGGTGCGGGTGACCGGAATCAGACTTGGATTCGAAAGGAAGCCATGGTGATAGACATGTCTGGGCAGTTAAGAAATGTAAACATGAACTGAGTCACAGTTTACTTAATAGAGCCTTTGAGACGTGGTACTGGGGTGTTCTGAGATCATGCTGGAGTCTAGAGGAATAAAATATTAATTTAGGTACAATTGTAAATACGAACAAAAAACAAACACAGAGTCCAGGGCGGGGCATGCTCCCTATGTGGGTAAAGTGCCTGCCACATGATGACCTGAGTTCAAATCCCCTGCACGACGAACTAATTGGTCTCTGTAATCCCAGCATTCCCAGACTGAGATAAGAGGCAGAGACATGAGAAATCTCAGAAGCTCACAGGCTGGCTAGCCTGGCGTACACAGTGACAAACAAGAAGAAACTGTCCCAAGGCAGAAGGCAAGGCCAAGACCTGAGGCTGACTTCTGACCTCCACACATGAGGGCACACATACACACACAAAGAGATTTTAAAACACACACACATAAACATATAGAATAAAAAAACACATGAACATATAGCAAAGTAGCAAAACCATACTTTTGAAGACAAATGGTAAAAAAAATATTTTTCATCCTTCAACTTTTTTTTTTTTCTGTGTAACAGTCCTAGCTATCCTGGAACTAGTTCTTGTAGAACAAGCTGGCCTGGAACTCACAGAGATCCGCCTGCCTCTGCCTCCCGAGTGCTGGGATTAAAGGCGTGCACCATCACCACCTGGCAAAAGATATTTTACTCATTATGTAAATATAGTGTTCTCCACCTGCAGGTATGCCTGCAGGCCAGAAGAAGGCACCAAATGTGGGTGCTGAGAATTGAACTCAGGACCTCTGGAAGAGCAGTCAATGCTCCTAACCACTGAGCTATCTCTCCAGCCCCTCCTTCAGCATATTTTTACATTTGTGTGTATGCGTGTGTATGTATCCACATTCTTACATGTGCATGGGTTTACGTGTATGTGGGCGCACAGGCATGTAGAAGCTGATGTTAGGAATCATCCTCCATTGCTCGTCCACCTTACTTATCGAGGCAGGGTCTCTCAATCAAACCCAGGACTCCTTGGTAGCTAAACTTGTTAGACAGCTGGTTCTGGGGATCCACCCCCCCTCTCCACCTTCGGAGGCCTGAATTAGAGGAGGGCCACCCTCATTCTGTATTTCATGGAGTCTGGGGATCTGTGTCATAATAAAGTCCAGCACACCCCTGGAGAATTGTCAGCACAGCCCGCGGTGCTCACTCAGGCTGGAGCCAGTTAAACACGTGCAGACTAAACAAGCAACTGAACTAGTAACTAAAGTTTTACTTCACAGGGTGGGGGCGGTTGCTAGGGACTGAGCCCAGGTCTTTATGCAGCCTAGGCAAGTGCAACACCCTAAGTCATTCATTTATTCATTTATGTGAGCCAGGCTCTGCAGAGGGACCCAGAGTAGCCGCAAACCCGCCGTGTAGCCTATGCAGGCCGACGGCTGTGATGCTCCTCTGTTCCCCTCCCAAGTTACTGATTGCTGACCACCAAACCCAACAGTTATTTTTATTTTTTGTTTTGCTTTGTTTTTTTTTTTTTTTGTTTTTTCGAGACAGGGTTTCTCTGTAGCTTTGGAGCCTGTCCTGGAACTAGCTCTTGTAGACCAGGCTGGCTCACAGAGATCCTACTGCCTCTGCCTCCCAAGTGCTGGGATTAAGGGCGTGCGCCACTACTGCCTGGCAGTTATTTTATTTTTATAAAATTAACATGTAGAACCTTCTGAGCCAGGTAAAGGTACTTGCCAGTGAAGTCCAGTGACCTGAGTTTGATCCCAGGAACCCACAGAAAGACAGAGGAGAGAACTAACTACACAAAGTTGTCCTCTGACCTCCACATGTTTGTTGCGGCCTCACATACATCACACGTGCACATGCATGCATGTGTGCACATACACTAATAAAAGGTTTTTTTTTAATTAGCATGTAGGAGATGAGAGATGGTTCATTAAGTAAAAGCTGCATCATCCATCGCCAGGTGGTGGTGTACACCTTTAATCCCAGCATTCAGGAGGCAGAGGCAATGGATCTCTGAGTTCGAGGCCAGCCAGGTCTACACAGGGAGTTCTAGGATAGGCTCCATAGCTACTGAGAAACCCTGTCTTGGGAAAAAAAATTTAAAAAATGCACCATCTTAATGATTCGAGTTTGATCTCAGAACTCACATAAAGTCATATGCGGTGACCTGTATCTGTAATCCCAGTACTCCGATGGCGAGGCCAAGGTAGAGACAGCAGAATGGTACCAAAACTTGGGGACCAGCCAGTCTGGAGTATTCAGCACAACAGCAGAAACAAGAGACCCTGATTCAACAGGGTGGCAGACAGGTGAGAGCCAACTCC